CAAGCTTCGAAGCCTCGATACAGAACGTCACATCAGTAGTTGTGCTCATAAGAGTTGATTCTCAGTCTATTGAAGGTTTCAAGCTTTGTGAAGCGCGATGTCTTCACAATCTATTGTGTAAGGTGATTTGGAGCAATGGAAGGTTAAAACAGCATTCACGCTTACAGACAAATATGATTTAAATGTAGACCTTTGTAAGCAAAGGCCTTGAATTCATTTAGCTTCTACCTGCAGTTGAGCTTGCCTAGTAAAAAGTGACAGAAGAAGAGTGAAGAAAGTGTAAAGTCCCCAGGGGCTATTCGGAGAATGAATTTAATTACCATGTATGGAAGAAAGTACTGGAAAGAGTAACATCTCTGTCTATTTTAGCTATTTTTAAGTGATGTGTGACACACGCTAGGCACAGATACACCCACACACAGGTCGTTATCATCAGATGCACGTTTATTGTGAGTGTCCACAGAATTACAGCAGAACACCGTTTGACAGCGGTCGGTTTCCCCAGCTTCCTTTCCCTCCGCTCCTCTCCGCCTCACTATATAAAGGGAAGGAAAACCACCATCAGTCCAAACCGCCATCAGCTGTTCTTACCAGCACCGCCCCGTTGAGCCCACTGCACCACTCCTCCCTGCAGCCGCGCGCCGGACCACACCTCCGCCACATGATGATTTACTGTAACTTACCGTATTTTCACGACCATAAGACGCACTGTGCTAAAAGGCGCAGTCTCAGTTATGTGTGCCATTACTGTATTTAACACACACATAAGGCGCACTGGATCATAGGGCGCATACAAGTACCGTATGCGTATTTAAAAAATAAAGCGGGAGCAAACCTGAGTTCGGTACCTCACTCACATTTTTATTACCAGTAATCGTCATCATCAACAACACACAAGCATACAAGTGTGCGTATTTAAAAATAAAGCAGGAGCAAAACAAAGTTTGGTACTCACATTTTTATCATCAATCAAACCCATCGAAGTCCTCATCCTCTGTGTCTGAATTGAACAGCTGCGCTAAATCTCCATCAAACATGCCAGGTTCACTTTCTTCACTGTCAGAGTCACTTTCCGTGCCGTGCGGCTCCTCGGAAATGATGCCGGCTTTTGCGAAAGCTCGAACAACAGTGCCAGCAGCCATGTTAGCACAAGCATCTACAATCCATTGGCAAATTGTGGCGTAACTCGCCCGGCGCTGCCTTCCACTCTTGGTGAAACTGTGGTCTCCATCGGTCATCCATCGCTGGATGTGTTTGTCGCCGATGTGTTTGCTGCAGTAGGAGCGGAAGATGGCCAGCTTTTCCTTATAATCCGGTGGAAGTTGCTGCGCTACCGTAGTCCTGGTCCGGATGGAAAAATGGCACCGTTTCATAAAAAGTGAAAGTGAAACTGCTTTTAGCCAAATGGTGACCGTCGAAACGCTTCTCCCGCTCGTTCTTTGCTCGATGATCGCCTTATGTCAGCTGCGTCTTCTTGACCTGTCGGAGCTTGTTTTCCAGCTTCCTCCACTTGCGAACCATCGATTCATTATTCTTAAATTCTCTCGCCGCTGCTCGATTTCCATGTTCCTCCGCGTAGCTGATGGCCTTCAGTTTAAACTGTGCTTCGTAAGCGTGTCTCTTTGCCATTTTCAGGGTTGTTAAAACAACGATGTCCTGCATAACGCACATACCTGTTCTTTTATACAGGTATGTGCAATAAAGTCAACGCACACACTTCACCCTTTAGCGTTCTCATGGTGTTCTCTACTACGTCCTCCTTACAAGACACAGGGCGCACTGCGCTATAGGGCGCGCCGTACTTTTTGAAGAAAATCTAAGACTTTTAAGTGCGCCTTATGGTTGTGAAAATACGGTAAGCATAATTATGTACATTGCAGATGCAGAAGGGGCTGAACCCTGAGATGAATAAAACTATTCTGAATTGAGTTGTTTGGAGAAGATCTATGCTGATGAGTTGCAGTGTACATCTTCCCACACGTGTATTCAATAAATCATCATTTGACTGAACTCTTCTGGGCCAGTGTTGGTTTGTTCCTTGCCTCAATATTTCGAATCGGGACACTACCAATACAGATCATTCACAGCTAGGCTAAAATAGAAGGATCTCAGTGATTGTGAAAACAGAGCTATTTAGGAGCAATAAGGCAGCGCAGCTAAAAGAGCCGAAGATCTCAAACACACTGAACACTCCTCACTCACTTAGAGAACCAACTTTCAGACTGATGACGCTGATGAGCTTCAAAGGTTTTCCAGCTCTCTTGATGACATGACACTCGTATGTTCCAGCATCATCTTGTCTCACATTCTTCAGAATCAAAGACACGTCTCCATCAGCTATCTGTCTGTCCTTCAGATCCACCTGGTTCTCAAAAGATGGATGCTGGTAATCTGGAACAAGTCATCCATGCTGATATAAAAGGACAAGTTCTTCATCTTCCAGTTCTGTTCTTCAGTTCTGCTCCACTCTACAACTATGACGATGTGAGCTTGAGCTTGACATGTCAGAGTGACGTCCTGTCCAGACTCAGCTGTGATGATTTTGTGATCTGAAAAAGAGGAAACAACACAGCGCAGCGAGGTTAAAGGTCAAAGTAACACTGTTCACTTCTACAGCAGTCAATCAGAGTGATGATCAGACAGCACTAAACTGTACTTACACACAGAGAATTTTCAATAATATCACTTATCACAAAATTAATGTGTGCAGGCTCATGTTGCCTGCGCAAAAGAAGACGTCACACATAAATCAAGGCTGGACTGGGACAAAAAATTGGCCCGGGCATTTTGACTAGAGACCGGCCCACCAGGATAAAGATTGAAAATTTGACGTCATTCAGTGTTAAACCGCAAAGGATTCTGGGAACTTGTGGCAAGAGGTACTAGCGCACGCAGGCTTTCAATTGAACTCAGTTACACAGCAATAAAAAGAAACACAAAAAATGGCAAGAAGCTGTTGTATTATTAACTTCAATAGTCGGTCGCATGACAGCCACGGGAAGCCGACGGGTAGAGAGATCGTTTTTTTTATCGGATTACATCGTTGAAGAGACATTTTTAAGCCATGTTTCCGAAGTAAGAGCCGACGGATGGTCTGGATATACCAAATATAACGTCCCAGAACACTCCAGCTCACATGTTAGTCTGCTCCAAGCATTCCCACAAAGGTCAGAGTTTTGTTGTAGTTAATGCGTCATTTTTCTTAACATAATTGGTGATATAGGTTACAAGCAAGTCTGGCGCTGAACAGAAATTGTGGCGCTATGCTCCTTTGTTTATTGTGCATAAATAGTGAATTTTCCTGACACAATATTGCGTTTCGCTTCTGTTATTACCATGGTACATTGACAAAAACATATACTTTTATTCACAGGAGAAAACAGTTGTTTTGTATCACTAATTGTCCAGTGCGATTACAACATACAATATTATTGTCACTGCTACATTTCTGTAATGCTACCAGAAATTATTTCCACTACTAATTAATTACCGTTGAGCTCAAAGGTTATATTAATAAACGGTTAACGAATGTGTATTTATGACGACGATTTGTGAGACTGGTAAACTTACCTTTGTTCGTACGATGGTCTTTCGTTCTACACGGTGCATTTCAAGGTCCTGCACCCATCCGTCGGTAAACTGTACCTGGGCTTGTTGCAGTGACCTGAAGTTACTAAACTTCATGAGTGTATGCACTCACTCCAAGAACCGTGTAATTATAAATCTGAGCGTGGTGAAAGTTGGGCAGCACGCTAATGTCTTTTGTCCCTCTGTGTGCTCGTAAGGGTCTGACACTTTCACTCCTTTGATTTTTTCCTCGTATCTTTTCTTTGTCTTTTCGTCGAGTCTGTCTTTGTACGGACCGGCATTGTTCTCCTTTTGTTTTGTACATTCCTTTTTTGTGCGGCAAAGAAAAAACAAGAAGGTATTGGAACCGGAGAATGAACATTTTGCGGCGCTGCAAACGCTTGCATTTGATGCGGTACTTGGATTGTTTTGCCACGAGTTCCTGGCATGCAATGCGCGAAAATCACGTGATTGCTAAACAAGGGGGAGGGTGCATCCGGCCTCCTCGGCTGTAATTGGTCCAGCCAAGAGTCGATCATGACCAATTGACCAATCCAACACCTTTCATTATCTATACCCTTCCTAAAAAAAAATAAAAATCCATCGGCCCATAAAAACAAAATATCGCCAGCGGCCAGCAAATGCCCGGTATGCCCGATGGCCAATCCAGCTATGCACTCAATGCACTCTGTTTAGACCCAGACCAAACAATATTTCGTCTTGATGCATTCTCAATCATCCAGCAAAGTAAATCTCCAAAAGTTGAATCTGTTCATCTGGACGTAGCGTTTTGTGGGTTTTCTATAATGTTACATCATATTCTATAAGGATGTTATGTGTTTGTAGACTTTCTGCCCAGTTTGACCCATTTAGCAGAAGTCAGCATGTTTAAGGCTCTGATATCTATTCTGTATTACTTAAAGCAGTTATGACATGGTCTGATTTCCTCATCCAATAAAGGAATATTTAATATATCAGTCTACTCTTCATTCTATCAGAAACAGTTATCACAGCTCGTACATTTTCATTTTGCACATATATGTAAGCATTGAGCCAAATTTAGTAATGCCAACAAATTAAATGAACATTATTTGTCTCTTACATATAATACATCTATACATATTTATACACTGTAAAAGATTCTTGTCTTTGAGTGAAGATTTATGGTGATGGGAAATATAAATAACTGAAACTTGAATCTTTACTGAAGCTCAGTGTTTGACACAGAGTTCACTCACATGTGCTGTACTATGGAAGAAATATAGTATCATCAGAATTCAAGTATTTTTAGACATTGAATTTATGACACTGAATTTTTATCCTCCAAATTTCCCTGCAAAAATATTCACCTGCAAAAATTCACCTGCAAAAAATTCACCTGAAAAAAATTCACCTGCAAAAATTCGCCTGCAAAAATTCAACTGCAAAAGTGATGAACTTTAATGACCCAAGCCAGAGCAATCAGCACCAGATCGAGTCGAGTGGCTCTCAGCCAATTAAATTACGCTGTTTGATCACATGACACCGTTAGCCAGCAGTGTGTCTCCTAAAAGAGAGCTGTTTAAAGGTGAGTGATTAAGTTTTTCTCCTAAATAGAGATCATTACAGAATGCCTAGTCCTACTTAAAATCCCATTTATTTATTTATTTATTATTTATCATCTACTCGAACTAAGGAAAACGTTTGACTAACTCAAAGACAATTTCCACGCCTCCCCTGCCTGTCTGCAGAGGCAGTTTTGAATTTAGGAGCAGCAAGATGGAAGCGGCAAACCCTGGCGATTCTCCGGTAAGTATATTGTTATTTATCTTCAAGTTTGTCTTTTGAAACGTTAATGTTATTTAAATCCGTTGCTCACGTATAAAGTACACAGACGGGGTCTTTGCTCAACTCGTCTGAGGCGTGTCTCACTAAGCGCTACATGCTAGCATCCTGCTAACCGAGCTACCATTTACATGCTGTGCTTTAGAAAATAGGATACTCGTTAAAAAAATACTCCGCAGATATTGATAGATAGACGAACACTGCAAATATAATGTTGGAAACGAGAACGGCCTTTGGTGAAGGGGTAAAATACACCATGAATAAAGCCATATAGTGAATTGGCTGCCATGGTTGCAGAACAGCCTGATTTAATGACAAGAATAGGGAAGAGTGAGGTGAAGTGAACCAAAGCCACAAAACACAGTCAGAAGAGGCGGCAAAAGGGCAGTGATCTGTCCGTCAGTATGAAGTTGGTGTGTGCTTTGGTGAACAAAAACTCCAGACCGGTAGCAGGAAGATGGGAGACTCGTGTTTCACTGGAATAGTGGTGAATTAAAACATCCTTTGTTGGGGACATTTCGGTGTAAATGCATCCATACAGGTGAGACAGAGGCAGACCAGACAGTGAAGAAAACAAGGCAAACATTAGAAATATTAAAACGGAAATATAGGATTAATATAACATACAATTTGGGAAAATGTAAGGAACGCAATGTAAATGATATTGTAAAGTCATTAAAACAGCATACTCTGATTAAAAGAAACATGTAATTGGGTAGGATAATAATGTTAAAAAAACATGTACAAGATGGGTATGTATACTTGTAGCCAGAATTTAACAACTATAAAGTTGTAGCATGTCAGTACCTTACCCCATCCATTATATCCACACTTTCAGAAAAGGATATGGTCAATATCTTTACAAATACTATCTAAACTTAAACGGGATATTCCCTCTGCTTCTTCTGCTTCTCGTATACACCCTCAGGGTTTGTGATCAGCCAGCGGCTGATATGATCATTAATCCTGTAAAATAATATTCTTTCGGTTTATGAATCTGTTTGCATGGATTTCTTAATCCGTTTCCACTGTTAGCAGAAGTTGTGCATGCAGTTTTGGTGTGCTGCTCTCCAAGACTACAAGCTGTGTTAAAGTTGGAAGTAACTGGCCGATGTTCCACTGTTGAAGATCAGCTGTGCCCATTTGTTGCACATTGTGGGTATGGAGAAGTTGAGGCCCTTGCAGGCTACCCACAATTTCCCCAAACTGAGCGATTATACATCTTGCTTCCATATTTGTATCTTGTGTCACTAAAAATACATTTTATTTTAGTTTTATACATTGATTAATGACCTGCAGAATCTCCTTATCATATAAGGTGATTCATAATTGTCACTTTATGCTTTCTCCATTTTGAAAGTGATTACATCCTTGCATTACATACTTTAGGTTCATTTTCTGCAGGCAGGTTTCTGACAGAACAGGCAGATTTACACTATAACCTGCAGCAATGGACACATAAAGAAATGAAAAATTACATGTATGTGCTAACTTTCTAAACACTGTTACATTTATGATTAAGTAGATAAAACATTTATGTCAGCCTTGGCTCATAGTTCATTTAAAGACAAGAACTTTGTGTGTGTTTCAGGTCCTGCACTCTCAAAGACTGAATGAACCTGCATTGCAGCCATGGGTCACTGTGAGCATCACAGGGAAGGTTGAAGCCGCCCGCTGCAGCTGTAAGGCCGGAGTCACGGAGACCTGCACCCACGTCACTGCTCTTCTGTTTAATGTAGAAGCAACAGTGTTGATCCGTGGCACAAGGACTGTTACAGATGAACCTGCATACTGGGTTTTGCTGGGTAATATGACCAAGATACAGCCAGAGGTTGGCCATAAGATGGACTTCTCCTCTTCAGCTGCCCAAAAAAAGGCTCTCAATCAAAACATAAACAGACCATCTGTAGTGACAGGTAAAAGGAGCCGTCCTCAAAACAGAAAAATCCCACCTGCTACTGTGGAGGAGTTGTCACTGCTATAATGCCATCATGTTTTATCTAGGGGTCTAGATTTATGCCTATAGTGTACTGCCGTGTAAATAATTTGCATTTACTGAATGAGTATCGCTGTTCAAAAATTGAATAAAGAAACAAACTAATTTTTGCCTTTTTTTTATTAAAACCACTTTATAGAACATCACATCAGTTACAATGTAGAATCCATGTCACTGGAGCATTTTGATTCAATAAACAGTAAAAAGGTGAGCTGTGAAGACCAAGGACAAGTGCAGTTCACAGGTTTTCTATCCAAGGAATCCCAGAAGATTGCATGGTGTCATTGCCCAGCAGTTGTTCGCAGGACATATGGACTCAACCGCAACAATCCCTCACACTGAGCAGCATGAAGTGACAGTGCAGAGGAAAAACTCCAGCAGAACCAGAACCCGGTTCAGTACCAGCAGCCATCTGGGTTTGGAGGAGAGAGACAGAGACACAGAACTACCAAAAGTATAATTTTTTATGTGATTGACTGTTGTTGTAATTCAAGCCCTGAGTGTAGAGCAGGTAAGATATAAAGTTGCATCCTAAATTCCATGCTCATGCAGAGTGTTTAGTTTATGACTTTTTCACCTGGTCATTTCTTGATGAACAGATGGTCTTTTAACAGTGGAACATCGGCCAGTTACTTCCAACTTTAACGCAGCTTGTAGTCTTGGAGAGCAGCACACCAAAACTGCATGCACAACTTCTGCTAACAGTGGAAACGGATTAAGAAATCCATGCAAACAGATTCATAAACCGAAAGAATATTATTTTACAGGATTAATGATCATATCAGCCGCTGGCTGATCACAAACCCTGAGGGTGTATACGAGAAGCAGAAGAAGCAGAGGGAATATCCCGTTTAAGTTTAGATAGTATTTGTAAAGATATTGACCATATCCTTTTCTGAAAGTGTGGATATAATGGATGGGGTAAGGTACTGACATGCTACAACTTTATAGTTGTTAAATTCTGGCTACAAGTATACATACCCATCTTGTACATGTTTTTTTAACATTATTATCCTACCCAATTACATGTTTCTTTTAATCAGAGTATGCTGTTTTAATGACTTTACAATATCATTTACATTGCGTTCCTTACATTTTCCCAAATTGTATGTTATATTAATCCTATATTTCCGTTTTAATATTTCTAATGTTTGCCTTGTTTTCTTCACTGTCTGGTCTGCCTCTGTCTCACCTGTATGGATGCATTTACACCGAAATGTCCCCAACAAAGGATGTTTTAATTCACCACTATTCCAGTGAAACACGAGTCTCCCATCTTCCTGCTACCGGTCTGGAGTTTTTGTTCACCAAAGCACACACCAACTTCATACTGACGGACAGATCACTGCCCTTTTGCCGCCTCTTCTGACTGTGTTTTGTGGCTTTGGTTCACTTCACCTCACTCTTCCCCATTCTTGTCATTAAATCAGGCTGTTCTGCAACCATGGCAGCCAATTCACTATATGGCTTTATTCATGGTGTATTTTACCCCTTCACCAAAGGCCGTTCTCGTTTCCAACATTATATTTGCAGTGTTCGTCTATCTATCAATATCTGCGGAGTATTTTTTTAACGAGTATCCTATTTTCTAAAGCACAGCATGTAAATGGTAGCTCGGTTAGCAGGATGCTAGCATGTAGCGCTTAGTGAGACACGCCTCAGGTGAATTTTTGCAGATGAATTTTTTGCAGGTGAATTTTTTTCAGGTGAATTTTTGCAGGTGAATTTTTGCAGGTGAATATTTTTGCAGGGAAATTTGGAGGATAAAAAATCAGTGTCATAAATTCAATGTCTAAAAATACTTGAATTCTGATGATACTATATTTCTTCCATACTGTACCAGTGTACCTGCACATGTGATGTGACAATAAAAGTGAATTGTTTACGTGAATTGTTCAAGTTCACTGCTGTAATAACTAATAATGATTAATATAATAACTATAATATTGGCCATATTATATTTACACTGACTTTAGTCTCATGAACAACATAATTGTTATTTACTAGCTAATCTTAAAATGACTGTTCAGTACAGAAATGAAGCCCCCAACAATCATGTTTTACAGTCATGTGGTCTCAGCCTCAGATACTTATTAAATCACACAAAGTAGAAACAAACGAACAAATGAACAAAATATGTTCTCCTTCATTTCTCTCAAACAAAGCTGTATGAAACGTTTCCAGCGGTTAGTATCATGGTTGCTAGGCAACCTGGGCAGCGCGACGGAGATCGACCGGCATTTCACAAGCCTCGCACTTCCGGCCTTAGCGGTCTTTGAGTACGCGGCCCTTGTGGACCGTTAAGGCTGCGTACTTTAGGGCTGCAGAACCTGAATTGGGATACAGCCTAAGGCTGTTCCAATTCTCAGCACCGGTCCTCTCTTTCCCTGAGTCCTTAGCAAATCTCCTTCCCACGATGACGTTTCCAACGAGGGCAAGAAAAAGAGTTTAGGAAAAGGAGATAGGCGCTACTTTTGAAATAACACCCCACATGGTTACGTTGGTCTGCTTAGTCACGTGACCGCACAGCAACAAATCACAGCAGAGCCGGAAAAGGAGGCGGAGCAAAGTGTGTGTGCAGGAGAGGAGTCGAGCAGAGAGCTGCTTTTTCATGAAACGGGAGTAAAGTAGTAAACTTACAGGAACATATACCACTGCCAACGTTGGGATTAATTTCTGCATCGATCTGCACACCCTTGTGTCCTGGATCGTAGCCGAGATCAGCGTGAACCACGTGGGTCTCTGCTCCCTGATCTGTTTCTTAAGACTTTCAGCTTCATCACGGAGTTTCTCTCGGTTTGTGGGCTCATATAAAGGTAAGCACCGAGCCAACTTTAATGTGGGTTCAGTTTATGTTGTTGCTGTTAAGAATAATAGATTGCTTGGTATACACTGGAGTTAGACAGACTGTAGAGTTTGTGATTGTCTGCAACATTATAATCTGGCGGTTGCTATGGGGTAAGAATACATACAGAAAAATTGTATTTGAATATGAACAAAGGGTGCAGGGCAGGAGAAGAGCCAACCCCCAGGACAGGAAGCCACGGGTACAAGCGTGGGGGAGGGCTGTCACTACCGAGAAGGGTCTGGCTGCAGGCACTGTGGAGCTCCACAGTAACCGGAAACACGTGACCTCCACAGTAACCGGAAACACGTAACTTCGGTTAAATCGACTTTGACATCGAAAACTAAATTGCGTTTTTGTCCCTATTGATGCTGCTGAGAAATAAAAATGGTTTTAAGTGGGGGGTTTTAACACTCTGGGTTTGTTCAAAAAAATTCACCATCCCCTAAATTGTTTGTGGCCAAAAGTGACACTTGCTGTTTCGCTGATTTCTTTATTTTTTTACAGTACATCGCGTTGTGCGTTCTGATTGCTGTAGACCATTGTCAATCAATCTAGTCCAGTGTCTCCTGTACAGGAGCGGTCCCTAATAGGCCCACGGACCGGTCCCGGTCCGTGAGTCTTTTGGTACCGTTCCGCGAGAGTTGATCCTCCGGTGTGAAATGTATGGTTGTAGTTGTGTGTCTTATTTTGAAAGAACTATTTACGCGTTACCATAGCGACCAGATAGCGTTAAGAAGCAGAGAGGAGGATGTCACTGTCATTGTTATTGGCACACAGCTCAAGTCACGTTTATTATTACATTTACAAAATACCACAGTTTCTTTTTTTTATTCTTTTGTTGTATTTATCCGCGACACCTTAAAGGTCGTTCCCTGAAAATATTGTCTGACATTAAAGTGGTCTGTGGCGCAAAAAGGTTGGGGACTCCTGCTGTACAGTACAGAATGCGTTTAGCTTGTCGAATTTACATAAATCTTCGATCGCTAGCAGTGTAACTCTGAAGTGCTGTACTGTATGTTTGGAAGTTTTCTCCCAAACAAACACAACAATGCCGACGAAACGTTTTGCACCCTCAAATGCACCTTTAGGTTTCATTCCATAATACTGGACTTATGTTTCTACGAAGGTTTGAACTCTAAGAGTGTTTAAACAAAAGAGAAAAGTGTGAAAATGTTCATGCCTGTCTGAGAAAAGTGTATAAAGCATGTAGTGAGGGGTTTTACAGTCTTAACATCTGTAATAATTGTAAAAAATAAAGTTGGCTACTTCATGGATTTCACCTAACGCGGGTTATTTTTAGAACGTAACACCAGCGATAAACGAGGGGCTGCTGTATTATTAATAGTAGAGTCTGGGACATCTAATTGATTAACATCAACAT